GTGAATAAATATGCAACCACACAAACACCCAGGTCAATAACACTAAGTTCTACACTCATCAAAAATAATAGAATCAATAATCATACTGACAACATAGTAAAAGTAAACAGAACCATAATATAAATATTGATTGATAATAATACTTTTACTATTCATGATACTGGTGGTAGGGGAGAAGGTAATATCAGCAACAGTACTAATAAGAATACATCTGACCCACCAGCGCTTCACGGGCAGACAGGGTGAGATCGTACTCGGGCACACTAAATGCCTCATCCTTGCCACCCTTATGAAGTATGGGTGTCGGCCAGGCCAGTGCGGAAGTTGGGGCATCAAGGAGGGTCACCCATGAGGGATCCAGGATCCTCAAGACAGATATGTGTACGCCCTTCATGTCCAGACTTGTCATGAGTGATCCTTGGTACACACGGATGGGGTTTATGCCACGCTGTTCTGTGGGTGTGGAAGAGATGGGGAGTGTTGGAGATGAAGTAAGGATAAAAAATAAGGAAAGTGATGATAGGGATGGCAGCAAAGGTGATGGAGGAAAGGACAAGATGGAGGAAGTAGTAGCAAGAGTTGAGAAAAAGTTGAGAAGGAATTAAGGGGGAAAGAGGGGGTGAAAATACTATTATCAGAAACATGCTTATCCCTTTGAGTAAATATCAACTTTACTGCCATGGCAAGTATCATCACATCATAGTTAACAAAATAACTATTAATCCATTACCAGAGGCAATGCTTTCCATAAATATATAAGAATGACAATTATAAGAATCATAATTTTCTAAAACTTTGGAAAGGATGAGGAGAGGGGAAGAGATGGAGGTTCAAGAGACTATGTTGTCTGACATCTGCTGCCAGAATCAACATTAAAACATTATTTTTAAGCCCTGTGCATCGACTCGGTTCTGGAGGAAATTCTTAGGTGAGACTATTGGTCTAGTGACCTTGACTCAAACACACCTCTTTATTGGCCTGCTCATCTATTTGTCCTCCAAGATCTCTACTAACACACGACCTATCTACCTTACATCCCAGTTTCACTTACACTTCCCTCCATGGATCTGCTACAGCTGAGATTGATGAAGGAAACCAGCTGTGGGTTTTTAAATAGAAAAAATGGTGGCAGCAGTGGGATGAATTCTACTACTACAAGGATGGATGGATGTGGGAAGTGACAAACCTCTGACATATTTCTGTATCTTGAAAATGGTTATTGTATATAACTGAATTAAGTGTTGTCCCTGAGATATAACAATTTTACTGAGAGTTCGTTTTCACTGGAATATTGGTAATGAATTTGGATACAAACTTCACCTCTGAAAGGAGTAATGGTTACCATGACAACAGAACTGTCAAATTTGCAAAAAATACAGTGGAAAAGTACAGTGCATTTCTAAGAGATAGAAAATGACTGACCATGACATCATGAAATATATGTGCTAAGGCAGTTTAAGAGAGGTTACTGTGTAGATAAGTTGTTCCTTACAAGTCATGAAAAGGCAGGGCTTTGTTGTAGGAGGGAGAGAAAGAAAGAGAGAGAGAGAGAGAGAGACAGAGAGAATGGTAACAAGGAGAAGATCAAAAGACAATAACGAAATAATTTCAAATCCCTTACTAAGCTGCATCACAACTTCCCTCCTCAGAATGCCCATTTCAAGTTCCGAAGTGCACCCGAGGTTGTTCACGATGACTGCCACTTCATCTCCCTTCTGCAGATCAAGACGTGTCTCCGATTCCTCCCTCGTCAGGTTGTCCAGGAGCGTTTTCATCACTTCAGATGCTGTTCCTGCCTAAAGGGTGAGAGGAAAAATTTAGTGATTGGTTACATGAAGCATCACCGCTTGGAAGAGAAATGCAGTGATTAGCCATGGGCAGAACAGCACCACTGATTCAAATAGGGCAGTACTGGTACTAATAGAGTGATCGGCTTAGAAAGAAGGAATGTGACTGGACATGTGAGTTATTGCATAGCTAAAAGCAAGACACGAAGGATTGGCTAAGAGAGGAAAGACATAACTGGCTGAAAAAGTAGGATATAATGATTGAGGTGAAAGAATTTAAAGACCTAACAGCAAAAATCAAGCCATGCAGTGACTGGTTGGAAGAGACAAGTAGAAAGAAGTAGTTGGCCAAGAAAGTGAAACGGATATAATAAATATCTTGATTGTGCAAATGTTTTCAAGCACCTCACCTTTATAGTGGCTGCCCCTTTCTCGCCATGTACCCCGAGGCCGAGCTCCAGCATGCCCTGGGGCACTGTGAAGTGGGGCTTGGGCGCCCCCGGCATCTGGCACGCACTGGCAGCAAAGCCTATAGTTCCCATGGCACTACCGAGCTTGTGGCATGTCTCCAGGGCCTGATCCAGCGTGGCACCTGCCTGGACCATGGCGCCCACGATCTGACGGCGAAGAAGACGGGAATCGCCATTAACGTCCGGGTTTTATCGTCGTTGTATATTTTTCTCTCCTTGTTTCGGCTTATGATTGTTTTTCATTTTTCTAATACTTGTTAATTTTACTACTTCTCTTTTGGGATCGATTAAAATTATTATCGTTATATTTTATTATTATTGAAACTGCCATAGACTTTATTATTGTAACTTATATCCTTATCATTCGGTGTTACCGCTTCATCACAAATATCATTATTCAAGAACATGATATGAGAAAGTGATCATTATATTTCAATGTTATTCTGTGTTTGCTGATATCATCTGGGAAATCATTATCACCATTCGTCATTATCAGTCAAGAGGTCACTGCTAACATGCATACCAGAGCGCCAGTGACCTCGGCTAATAACCTAACCCTTGCTGGCTATTCTCGTTACCTTGTTTTCCCATCAAACAGGTACTTTATATGCGAGTTTTTGTACTCAATCACCTGTATCGTCTGTTTATGTGAAGATGTGGCCTGCCCCCTCCCTCGTTCCTTTTATCACCCTCCCCCCTCCCTCTCTCTCATCCGACCACCTTCTGTCCCTCCCCCTCTGTCTTCTTCTCTCCTTCCCTCTCTCCCTCCTCCACTTCTTTTCTCTCCCACCCCCGTCTCTCACCTTCAGCACAAATACAGTTGCGCACAGTACCCTCCATCCCTCCCTCTCTCCCCTTATCTCCCTCCCTTTCTCACTCTTTTCCCTCCCCTCCCTCCACTTTCATCTTCCTCTTCCTCCTTCCTTCCCTCCTCTTCCCTTCCCTTCTTCTCTCTCTATCCTTCCCTCCCTCCTCCTCTCCCCTTGCCTCCTTCCCTCCCCTTCTCTTCCTCCCTCTCTCACTCTTTTCCCTCCCATTCCCTCCAAGAACATGATCTTCCTCTTCCTCCTTCTCTCCCTTCCTCCCTCCCTCCGCCCTCTCCCCTTCCTCATTCCCTCCTCCTCTCTGCCTCTCTCTCACCTTCCCACCTCTCCCTCCTCCCTCCTTCCCTCCACTTCCTTCTTTCCCACCCTTCCTCTCCCTCCCTCCCTCCTCCTCTTCCTTCCCTCCTTCCTCCTCTCCCTTTCTCCCTCCCTCCTCTCCCCTTCCCTCCTCTCACCTTCAGCACAAACATAGTGCCACAGAGGCCCCTCCTGCCAGCGGTGCCTGAGACTCGGGCGAGGGCGGAGTCGTCGCCGCTAACATACATTCCCACCTGGAAAAGAGAGGCGGGGAAATGGCTTTCGATAGATAGATGGAGGGAGAGATGGATGGATGGAGTGAGTGGTAGTTGGATGGATGGATGGATGGATAGATTGAGTGGTAGATGGATGGATGGAGTGAGTGGTAGTTGGATGGATGGATAGATTGAGTGGTTGATGGATGGATGGAGTGAGTGGTAGTTGGATGGATGGATGGATGGATAGATTGAGTGGTAGATGGATGGATGGATGGATGGATAGATTGAGTGGTAGATGGATGGATGGATGGATGGATAGATTGAGTGGTAGATGGATGGATGGAGTGAGTGGTAGATGGATGGATGGATGGAGTGAGTGGTAGTTGGATGGATGGATGGAGTGAGTGGTAGATGGATGGCCGGATGGATGGATAAAATGAGTGGTAGATGGATGGATGGATGGAGTGAGTGGTAGATGGATGGATGGATGGAGTGAGTGGTAGTTGAATGGATAGATTGAGTGGTAGATGGATGGATAGATTGAGTGGTAGATGGATGGATGGATGGATAGATTGAGTGGTAGATTGATGGATGGAGTGAGTGGTAGATGGATGGATGGATGGATGGAGTGAGTGGTAGATGGAGGGCCGGATGGAGTGAGTGGTAGAAGGATGGCCGGATGGATGGATAAAATGAGTGGTAGATGGATGGATGGATAGATGGATTGAGCGGTAGTTGGATGGATGGATGGATAGAGTGACAGATGGAGGGAGAGACAGATAGATAGAAAGATAGATTGAGTGACAGATGGATGGAAGAAGAGATGGATAAACAGACTGATAAATAGGTTGACTGACTGGTAGACAGATCAAAATGCCTATATAAAAAGAATAACGTAGATTCTATAATAAACTCACAGACAAATAAATTACATAGATATCATCATCATCCCTCCCCACACACACCCCTCCCCCCCCTTTCGTTCACACTCCCCCCACTTTTTACACACACACACACACACACACACACACACACACACACACACACACACACACACACACACTCCACACACACACACACCACACACACACACACACACCACACACACACACACACACACCACACACACACACACACACACACACACCACACACACACACACACCACACACACACACACCACACACACACACACACACACACCACACACACACACACACCACACACACACACACACACACACACACCACACACACACACACACCACACACACACACACACACACACACACACCACACACACACACACACACACACACACACACACACACACACACACACACCACACACACACACACACACACACACACACCACACACACACACACACACACACACACACACACACACACCACACACACACACACACACACACACACACACACACACACACACACACACACACACACCACACACACACACACACACACACACACACACACACACCACACACACACACACACACACACACACACACCACACACACACACACACACACACACACACCACACACACACACACACACACACACACACACACACACACACACACACACACACACACACACACACACACACACACACACACACACACACACACACACACCACACACACACACACACACACACACACACACACACACACACACACACACACACACACACACACACACACACACACACACACACACCACACACACACACACACACACACACACACACACACACACCACACACACACACACACACCACACACACACACACACACCACACACACACACACACACACACACACCACACACACACACACACACACACACACACACACACACCACACACACACACACACACACCACACACACACACACACACCACACACACACACACACACACACACACACACACACACACACACACACACACACCACACACACACACACACACACACACACACACACACACACACACACACACACACACACACACACACACACACACACACACACACCACACACACACACACACACACACACACACACACACACACACACACACACACACACACACACACACACACACACACACACACACCACACACACACACACACACACACACACACACACAGATATATATAGTGAGAGAGGCAGTACTGTAGTATACTCGGAGAGACGGAGACACACTTGATAGGTCGCTGATGGCTGTTGGCAGGTTGAAATGACAACGACGTAATGACTGTCACGTTGGTGATGCTCGTTTGCAGCTTGCCTGTTTGTTAATAATTCTTGGTTACGATTAAAATCTGAAACACAATATATTGCTCGACCCTAATGCATTCAACTAACCATCAACCAACCTCCTCGACTTTTAAAAATCAGAAGCAAACAAAGAACCAAACTAATAAAAAAAAGAAAAGAAAAAAAAAACTTTGACAGAACACACTTACCGGCGGCAAAAGGCTCATGCCCTGATCCTCCGCCCGTGACAATAGCGACTCCCTTGCGCCGCCCCGTCAGCCACGCGCGCTCGACCACCATGCGCTGGAGGTGCCGAGAGGGGACTTGAGTTAGAGTGGTAGATGAAGGAAGGAAGGAAGAAGGGAAGGGAGGCAGGAAGAGAAAGGGGGAAGGAAGGAAGAAGGGAGGGAGGGAAGGGAGATGGGTAAGGGAGGAAGAGGGGAAAAGAAAAAAAGAAAGAAAGAAAGAAAGAAAGAAAGAAAGAAAGAAAGAAAGAAAAAAAAAACTTTGACAGAACACACTTACCGGCGGCAAAAGGCTCATGCCCTGATCCTCCGCCCGTGACAATAGCGACTCCCTTGCGCCGCCCCGTCAGCCACGCGCGCTCGACCACCATGCGCTGGAGGTGCCGAGAGGGGACTTGAGTTAGAGTGGTAGATGAAGGAAGGAAGGAAGAAGGGAAGGGAGGCAGGAAGAGAAAGGGGGAAGGAAGGAAGAAGGGAGGGAGGGAAGGGAGATGGGTAAGGAGGAAGGGGGGAAGGGAGGAAGAGGGGAAAAGAAAAAAAAAAAAAAAAAAAAAAAAAACGACAAAAAAAGAAAGAAAGAATGAAAGAGAAAAGAAAAAATAGAAAGAAAAAGAAAACGATGAAGAAAAAAAGAGAAAAGAAAAAATAGAAAGAAAAAGAAAACGATGAAGAAAAAAAGAGAAAAGAAAAAAAAAACTTTGACAGAACACACTTACCGGCGGCAAAAGGCTCATGCCCTGATCCTCCGCCCGTGACAATAGCGACTCCCTTGCGCCGCCCCGTCAGCCACGCGCGCTCGACCACCATGCGCTGGAGGTGCCGAGAGGGGACTTGAGTTAGAGTGGTAGATGAAGGAAGGAAGGAAGAAGGGAAGGGAGGCAGGAAGAGAAAGGGGGAAGGAAGGAAGAAGGGAGGGAGGGAAGGGAGATGGGTAAGGGAGGAAGAGGGGAAAAGAAAAAAAGAAAGAAAAAAAAAACTTTGACAGAACACACTTACCGGCGGCAAAAGGCTCATGCCCTGATCCTCCGCCCGTGACAATAGCGACTCCCTTGCGCCGCCCCGTCAGCCACGCGCGCTCGACCACCATGCGCTGGAGGTGCCGAGAGGGGACTTGAGTTAGAGTGGTAGATGAAGGAAGGAAGGAAGAAGGGAAGGGAGGCAGGAAGAGAAAGGGGGAAGGAAGGAAGAAGGGAGGGAGGGAAGGGAGATGGGTAAGGAGGAAGGGGGGAAGGGAGGAAGAGGGGAAAAGAAAAAAAGAAAGAAAAAAAAAACTTTGACAGAACACACTTACCGGCGGCAAAAGGCTCATGCCCTGATCCTCCGCCCGTGACAATAGCGACTCCCTTGCGCCGCCCCGTCAGCCACGCGCGCTCGACCACCATGCGCTGGAGGTGCCGAGAGGGGACTTGAGTTAGAGTGGTAGATGAAGGAAGGAAGGAAGAAGGGAAGGGAGGCAGGAAGAGAAAGGGGGAAGGAAGGAAGAAGGGAGGGAGGGAAGGGAGATGGGTAAGGGATGAAGGGGGGGGGGGGGGGGGGGGTCAAGGGAATGAGAAAGGGGGGAGGGAGGAGGTTGGGGAAGAGTTGGGGTGGATGGGGGAGTAGGGAGTGGGTAAGGGAAGTGGGGAAGGGGGAGGATGGAGGAGGAACGGAGGAAAACAATAAATTCATTAATAAATGAATAAATACAAGTTGAGCATGTATATATACATATATCTGTGTGTATGTGTGTGTGTGCATGTACACACACACACACACACACAGATATATATAGTGAGAGAGACAGTACTGTAGTATACTCGGAGAGACGGAGACACACTTGATAGGTCGCTGATGGCTGTTGGCAGGTTGAAATGACAACGACGTAATGACTGTCACGTTGGTGATGCTCGTTTGCAGCTTGCCTGTTTGTTAATAATTCTTGGTTACGATTAAAATCTGAAACACAATATATTGCTCGACCCTAATGCATTCAACTAACCATCAACCAACCTCCTCGACTTTTAAAAATCAGAAGCAAACAAAGAACCAAACTAATAAAAAAAAGAAAAGAAAAAAAAAAAAAACGACAAAAAAAGAAAGAAAGAAAGAAAAAAAAAACTTTGACAGAACACACTTACCGGCGGCAAAAGGCTCATGCCCTGATCCTCCGCCCGTGACAATAGCGACTCCCTTGCGCCGCCCCGTCAGCCACGCGCGCTCGACCACCATGCGCTGGAGGTGCCGAGAGGGGACTTGAGTTAGAGTGGTAGATGAAGGAAGGAAGGGAAGAAGGGAAGGGAGGCAGGAAGAGAAAGGGGGAAGGAAGGAAGAAGGGGAGGGAGGGAAGGGAGATGGGTAAGGGAGGAAGGGGGGAAGGGAGGAAGAGGGGAAAAGAAAAAGGGAGTGGGGGAAGAGAGGAAGGGAGAGGGGGAGAAGAGGGGGAAGGGAGAAAGGGAGTGGGAGAATGGGGGAAGAGGGGAAGGGAGGATGGGATTGGTAGAAGGGGGGAAGAGGGGAAAGGAAAAAAGTAATGGGGGAAGGAAGGGATTGGTAGAAGGGGGGAAGAGGGGAAGGGAGAAAGAGGGATATGGAGAAGAGTGAAGGAAAGTAGATGAACGAAAGGTCAAGCGAGAGAGAATGAGGGGAAGAGAGAGAGAGATATAATCAAATGTAATGAAGGCACACGGGTCAAAGGTATACATACAGTACATGCACAGACCAGAACATGGCTTTTAGAAGGCTGGTCTAATCAACGGAAGACAAACGGGCTGCTATCGTGCTAAAACCAGGCAATTCAATTGCTGCTAGATTAAGGTGCATAGCTATAGATTTCAAGAATTTGCCTTAAAAATGATTTTCCAAAATTTTAGCTCCTAACCAGAAACATACTTTAAACCTCAATCTTTGTCTTATGTAACTTGTCGTCAGAATACTCGAAATTCGTCTATGATCGACCTGGTTTTGTCACAGACTGTTGCAAGGGACTGAATGGCATTTCAAAATTAGTCTAGGGCATATTCAACATCCACATATAACAGCATCCACATCTGCATTATTTTTTATGGGCAGTGGGAAGTCCTATATTTATTTGAAAATGTTGAAAAATATACACCAGACCATCAATGACCCATTTAAATGATACATACTATTCAAATGAACATGTACAATACAGAAAGATACAGCACAAGCAGACATACAAACGAATATAATGTAGAATCATAATATAACATAAAAGAAGGTTTGTTTAATCCCACTACTGCCACCAGATGGATAGATTTTCCTCTTGAATAAAGGTCTACACAAGGTCTCCCAATGTAATGGATTAAAAGGACAATCTGTTCCCTTCTTTTCCAGAAAATGGTGTTTCAAAATTTTGAATTTGCTTTTAAAATGGTGTCAAACTGCCCATATACAGAATCATTCTTGATCTTACATAGATAATTACCAATAACTCCAGTACAATTTGGAAATAATCAACACAAACATTTACACATATCTTAATCGAGGTTATACCTGCAGAGATATTCAACAAGTTTTAAGAATAGTATACATTATAGTCTCCTCAGGCTAGTGTTTAAGACTCGCTACAGAAACTGCATCGTGAAGAAGGCTAGTACTATGGTAAACCTTTATTAACGCTGCATTACTCCAATTGATTATGCTGCTTACATTTTGCACTCATTTCTACGGTGTACATATTTTACACAAACTATTGTACTTATTAGGGCTCTGAGCATAGTTTACAGATACATTTACAGCCCAATGAGTTCACTCGCATACATTTACACACGCACGCACGCACGCACGCACACGCGCACACACACACCATCTATCCATGTGTGTACGTAGAGAGGACAAACCTGTTCCGGCAGGAGAAGGAGACCGGAGTTCCCGGCCATCAAGCCTTCCAGAGCCTCGTCGACACATCGCTCGCTCGTGTTGATCAGCTGGGTCGCCATGTCGCTAACTCTGCCCGTTCAGAAGTCCTCTGGAATTAGAGGGTGTGGAAATAGTAAATGTCCTGCAACTAAGAATAAGTATGTATAAAAAAAGATATAGTATTTAAATAATGTAATATGGATTGTTGATCAGCTGGGTCGTCTTTGGAATTACAGGGTGTGAAAATGGTACACACACACACACACACACACACACACACACACACACACACACACACACACACACACACACACACACACACACACACACACACACACACAGACTCTCTCTCTCTCTCTCTCTCTCTCTCTCTCTCTCTCTCTCTCTCTCTCTCTCTCATCCCGCACGATGCCCAAATAACCAAGTTACCCTTTAAGAAACTCCTTCACATCAACACTATTCTCACGACACTGACTCGAGGGAAAGAGATAGGCGAAGATGCTCCCGAAATGGATGCTTATCGACGAGATAAGAGCGAGATAAAAGAGATTCGAGAA